TGCGTGCTCCCAGGTCCCGTTCTGCCCCACGTCTGATGTCAGAAGCGGTTCTTGACAACCAAGAAAGAATTGCCGCAACGCTGACACAGATCACTTCAGCACTTATCACAATCTTGGATACACTCAGAGAAATTAATTCAAATTTAAATAAAGATGCGCTCTGAAACCCGTTTGTTCCATGTTTAAGCGATATGCCTCTTACTTGATTGTAGTCTATGCTATAAATAATCAGAGTCAAATAATTTTTAAAGCAGATTTATTTACAACCGCGCAATTAAATGCTCTCAAACTTCTACAGCGAGCCTGTTTTGTGGTCCAAAGAGCACGTCAGGAGGCACATCCTCATGGTGTGGTGGTCGACTGGGAAGTGGTACACCATGTTTCATGGCAATGTTGTGCAATATACAGCAGGCCATGATTATTCCACAAACCTGTAATGATGAAAGGAAGACCAAAGATTAGAAAATGCAAAAAGTATGATTAAAATTGGGCCAAATGCTCTATGCAAGAATAAACAAATTGTTGGCTTTTCTCTTTATACTCACCTTCTCTGGTTTGTAAAGCAACTTGCCACCTGCCGTGTCCAAACACATCCAACATCCTTTTAGGATGTCAATTGTGTGCTCGATGGTGAAGCAAGTGCGTGCGTGCATTTGATTGTATAACACCTCCTGGCGAGTCTGGGGGTTGGTCAGTGGTGTCATTAACCAGGTGGCCAGGGCATATCCTTGATCTCCTGATAAAACAAGTCATAAGAATAGAAGGGCACTGTTGGAGGAAATGATAATTATTCAAAGATACATACCAATGAGCCATGCGTCACCAGCAGCTCCTTGTTTGAGATGCATGGCCACGGAGCTGTTCTGTAAGATATAGGAATCGTGTGCCCCTCCTGGGAAGCGGGAGACCACATTTAGTAGGTGGTTCTGGGAGTCGCAGATGAGTTGCACATTTATAGAGTGATACTGCTTGCGGTTAAGGTATGGCAATGGATCTGGAGAGGGTGCCTTGATGCGCATGTGCGTGCAGTCTATTGCGCCGATGGTGTTAGGCAGACCAGCAATAGAATGAAATCCCCTCTTGACTGGAATTTGTTCTTCAGCTGTATATGGGAATTTGATGTATTGTGTAGCCAGTCGATTTATTCCATCCAGCACTCGCGGGAGAGCGTGGCTGATGGACGGCTGTGATATTCCCACCCTGTCTCCCAGCTCCCGCTGAAATGTTCCAGTGGCCAAAAAGCGTAAGGTGGAGAGTACCTGCACATGTAGTGGTACAGGGATAGAGCGTTGTGTATGGCTCCGCAGTGCTGGCTCCAAATGATTACAGAGGTCCATGAGGACTGCTCTTGGTAGCCTAAAATGTCTCAATAAGTAGTCATCACACTGCAAATAAATTCATATGATCAAAGAAGATTTGTTCCCTCTGTAGGGCACGATCTGCAATATCTTGCAGCAGCAATATATGTATCATTGTTTGAGCAGGTCTAGGGTGCAGAAAGCTTATGTCTAAATAGGGTGACAATCACTGACTGATGGCGTGGTTTCCAATTGACATAATTGGTGTGAACTTAAGCATTAGTGCAGCGTTATATTAAAAGACCATAATGCTTTGTAAAATATCAAAAGTTATTACAAGATATATATTGGGACAAAAATATATTTTTCTGATTTAAATGATATAATATTATTCAACTGCAGAACGGAAAAAAGCACTTATTTTGCTCAAACATGTCAGCACTCACTTGTGTGTACGAGTGCTCCTGAGTGTGCGCAGATTCTGTTCTTACCTAAGAACAAATCCCAAATAAGAAAAAATTGGTGAATGTCAGAATCTTCGTAAAAAGTGTGTAGGTGGGTTTGAAGAAGAAATTTCTTCTTAAGAACGGTTGGTGAATGAGGCCCATACTTCGTACCGTGCTTCAATTCTGCGGTTGATAAAGTTGTGTGGTCACTTCGTTCTCAAGACTATGTTGGTATATGACCAGGACTGACCTTGGTGACTTCTTAGATGGGCGACTTTGGAAAACGTGGTGGCAGATTCAATGAGCGTAAGTGAAATAATAGTTGGACAGCATCCTGTCCTACGACAGAGTATTAGGGCCACATTAGGAAAAAAAAAATTCTGAGATTTCGAGAATAAAGTCATAATATTACGAGAAAAAAGTCATAATATTACGAGAATAAAGTCGTAATATTACGAGAAAAAAGTCATAATATTACGAGAATAAAGCAGTAATTTTAGGTTACGTGTTATTTTAGAGGGGGAATTTCATAAGAAAACTGCACAGGGTGTTGACTGATGTGTAGCACGACACTACGCCTGAGACAAACAGCAGTTGCCAGAAGCAGACTCGGGCTGCAATTGTATGAGGGGCGGTTTAGGAAATATTTCAGACTTTTGTTACACGTACACATATGAAACACGTACGCATTCACATGTGAAACTTTCACACACGCATCCACGCTACTGAAAACTCATATGCATATAGACACTCATAACGCTCATATCGACACATGTGAAAGGCATTCACACACACATACTTATGAAATGTTCGCACAAATACACGGAAACGGGCACATTCGTACATATGAAACGTGCATATACACTTGTATAAAACAGGATTTTTCACACATAGTTAAAGATTCATGCTGAAGCATGTAGGTGAGTGTGCAATGTTAGAAAGGAGTGTTTCACATTTGTCTGTATGAGCATTTAATATGTATGTGTGAGCTTGTTTCACCTGTATCTGAATGAGAGGTTCATATGTGTGCGCGTGTGAATGTATTTCATATGTGTCTGTATGAGCATTTCATATGTATGTGTGAGTCCATTCCACCTGTATGTGTGAATGTTTAATACAAGTCTATGTGCATTTAATAGCCTACGTATGAATGCGCCCGTTTAACAAATTGCCTCAATATTATTCTGCAGACAACAATGCGGTGTAGCAAGCCCATTAAATCTGTGTTAGCGTGAAAGCTGCAGACCGCATGGTGAAAGGGGGAACTGTAGCTTGCTTACCTTCTGGGGGTTTTGGGGGCCGAGGAGACACTGGCAAAAGCTGACTTCGTAGTCGGCAGGATTCGAACCTGCGCGGGGAAACCCCAATGGATTTCTAGTCCATCGCCTTAACCACTCGGCCACGACTACCCATGGCCGTTACTAAGCCGTCAGGTAGCTCAGTCAGGGCTTTTCTTTTCAAGCAAGTCTGAAAATCCAGTGAGCTGAGCTCCAATAAATGTCAGAAGTGGGATTCGAACCCACGCCTCCAGGGGAGACTGCGACCTGAACGCAGCGCCTTAGACCGCTCGGCCATCCTGACAGGTAAAAACACCACTGCTTGATGGAATGGCCAGAGGAAAGAGAAGATGTGTGCCAGTAACAAATTGCCGTCATATCATTCTGCTGACAACAATGCGGTGTAGCAAGCCCATTAACTCTGTGTTAGCGTGAAAGCTGCAGACCGCATGGTGAAAGGGGGAACTGTAGCTTGCTTACCTTCTGAGGGGTTTTTGGGG